TTTTTGCATTGCCAGCAAGCACTTGAAAGTTTAACTGATGGCAAGACAAACAAGCCGGTGTATATACGAATTAAAATATATATAGAAAGGCGTATATTTAATGTCGGAGCTATATATTTTGGGCAAGCAAAGGAAACACACAAAAACCACAAAAATGCCGCCTACACTGGATGCTGATGTTTCGTTGTCGTTCGTTGTTGTTTCGTATTCCTTTCTGTTGTTGTTGTTCTTGTTGTTGTTGTTCTTGCTGTTGGCATTTAGGGCGGTTGTCACGCCCACACATGACTTGCCGTCAAAGGGTTAAGGCGGTGAGGGGAGGGCTTGAGGGGGGTTAAGGCTAAGGCAGAGGTCGGATTTAAAGGTGGCAGATGGGTTGGTTGGTTCGGTGGAGAAGCGGTAACACATCCGCTTGCCCTTGCGGCATATCCTGCAGTTTCCTTCCGCTCTTCTCCACCCCCCATCAGCCCCCTTCGAACCCAATTTTGCCGCCGTATTTTCCAGAGTTTCCCCCACCTGTCAGTTTATCTAACACGCACTCCAGGCTAAAGAGCAACGGAAGGCGGTAAAGTGCCGAGGAAAACAGCAAAAATAAAAGAACAAGAGGAACGAGACCAAAAAATACGTAAATTAACAAAACCTGCCGCCAATCATGGGTGTGTATGTGCTTGTGTATGAGCTTGTGTATGTGTATGTGCAAGTCAGGGTGTGTGTGTGTGTGTTTAGGGGAAAAGGAAACTCGGATGGAAAGGGTTCTTTTTTATGGCAACGGTTTGCAGGATAAACTGAAAAAGCATCGATATACACTTTCGATTTGACTGGGCACAAGGATTATCTCAATTTTCTGTACCGTTAGTTCTTCGTACTTTGATGTTGCAGAAAAAAAAATTGGCTGCCAAACAATTTCTAGTTCATCTAAATATTTAGTTTTTTTAATTGGTTATAGTATGCGGTATTTATCTTATTGTTATTTATCTTAGAATAAAAGAAACCTATTTTTATTTAGTTGAAAGGGTAACGCAGTAGTTTTAGTGAATTGCAAAGGATTTGCCTACCGCCTGTGTGTGTTTTTCCTTCGTCCTTTTGTCAGAGGAGAACAAGCAACAGGGACAACGAAAAGGTCCAACTCCTGTGGCGTGTTTCTCTGCTTGCTAGTGGGCGTGTCCGTGTGTCGTTGCGTCTGCGTGTGTGTGTGCGTGTCTACGTATTTGTGTGCGTGCGGATGGGTGAAATTAGTTAAGGGCAACGAGGCGCATTTTTGAGATTCATAAACTTGCGTGCGTGTCGATGTGCGTGTGCTAAATGAATGTGTGTTCTTGCGAGTGTGTGTTAATTTCAAGTTGACTCCTCGTTTCACTCGTTTAATTGGCCTGACTGACACTAAACACACTTACAAAACACACACACACACATATATATCCTTCTTTGCACAAGCTTAGCATGGAAAATTACAAAAAATTAAAGGAAAAAAATAATGAGGGAAACCCCCAAATGAAGTTCATGCTTATGAATTAATGACGCCACTGAAGGCCAACACAAAAAAAAAAAAAAAGGTGAAACCAAAATGGCAGACCTTCAAGGAGAATCATATTTCGGGTTCATTCAACTCGCCTTCCGTGGACTTGACAAATTTCAATTAATTAACTCATTTCATATTCGTCTTCATTAGCCCGAAATGCAATGAAACCGTCCTCAATTAAGCCAAGTCAATAATTCATGCTTCTGCAAGGGATCCAAATGCTCCAATCGACATTTCTAACCAGTAACTAATTGTTGTGCTGCATTTGGCCAAACTATTTCGTTAATTAAAGTTCAATTTCGATTTATGAGTGTCCTTTTGCTGGTGTAACTCACTTTCCAGAAGAAAATTCGATTCCAAAGTGTAATACCTCTTAAAGTTTTGATATAATTTAGATTTTAAATACAAAATACATTTCATTCACATTCAAATTAAAAATCACTCCAACAAAATCCAGCTCCTATTTTAAAATTATGTTTAATTCAATTTGAAACTTATCCACCTTACAAACCTCATTACTTTGTCAATCGTAAAAGTTAATTAAATGATAAACGTTAGGTTTGGTTTGCGGTGACTTTGGCTTTGTTTGTTTCACTTGATTGAGGTAATTCACAGATATATTATTTCTGCTCTACGGCTTTTGGTTATTAACAAATTTAAAGGCGAATGCATGCGAACGAGTGTCTGCATCGTAGTTTCACGTTTCCGATTAAGGTTTTCACATTAAAAATCTTAAATGGCGGCCTTTTTGAGATGCTGTGAAATGATGATTTCATTGCATATGATATTTACGGCCAACACTTAATTAATGCATCGCAAATACTGGCGGAAGCACACAAAATCGCACATATTTGCGGAGCATAAATTGGGGCGAGAGGCGAAAAATATTTCCCGCGCTGATGGTTAAAAGTCAAAAAGGCGATAATTTCATTTACAACTGTCGCCCTCACATCCTCGTCCACATTTACCTTGCACATGTGTGTGTGTGTGTATGTATGGCACACCTCTACATAATATATATATACACTTGTTTACCTTTTCCAGTTTTTTTTTTTTTTTTTGTTTGTTAGCTCTGGCCCACGTCAATTTATTGATACCCACCAAAAAAAGAGAGAGAAACTGAATTGGAGGCAAAGGTAAAGTGAAACGTGGCCATAAAAATGAAACTGAAAATGAAGGAAAATTGCCAAGGGGTCGGAAAAAAGGGGGGGAGCGGGGTGGAAAGTCGGTGGGTTGGTGGGGTGGTGGGGTGGTGGTGCGGTTGGGTTGGTAACTGAAGTTAAGGCATTTGTCAACACAACGCTTGTAATGTTTGTGCGTTTTTTCGTTACTTTTCCGACTTGATTTCCTCTTTTAGCTAAAAAAAGGGCATAACGTATACGCCATGGTGTACCTCATAAACTTTATTTCATGTGAAAGATGCACTGAAACCCCTTAACATATCGTGTTAATTTCGTGAGCAATAAAACAAAGAACCCCTCTTGAAATTGATAATATATGAAAGGTTAAAAATACATCTGAGGTGACTGGGAATTCCCTCATAATATTTTTGTCGTCTCCACTGGCTTTCCGGTTTTATAGTTCGTGATTTTATTTATTTGCTTGGCTGCAGGTGTCGACGAATGGCGACGCAGGTTAAGTCAGTCGGATGCCAGGATGCCAGGACACGCTTATCCTTTGCCTCCTCCTGCTCTGTCGTCTTCATCTTTTTCCAGCTTCCCCTAGGTTTCCCCCGCTCCCCCCTATTTTCCTTATATTTTTTTACGCTTACGTTTTTTTTTTTTTGCCTGGGTCTCAGCTTGTGCTCTCGTTACGGACGAACTGTGGAGAACGCGTAAAGCGTAAACTACAAATTGTTTTGTAGTTGCCTCAAATGCTCCTTGTTCTGTTTTTTGTTTTGTTTTTATTTTTGCTGCGGCAACAGCAATTGGCTTCATTTTTATTGGCATTTATAGGGGGCGTGGCAGGTGGGCTGGTGCGCAGGTGGATAAGCCCCACCCACAATTGGGGCAACTTCGTTACGCTCCTTTTATTTTTATTTTATTTCATACACGGTTTCATTTTCTTTTCTTTTCTTCTCTCTTCATTTTATTATTTTCTTTTCCATTTATTTGACCTCGCCATGTGTGTGGGTGGTTGGGCAGTAGGGTGTTTGGGTGGCTGGGTGGCTGGGTGGCTGGGTGGCTGGGTGTTTGCTCACGTAATTCCCTAATTAAATACTTAAATTGTAATTGCTTTCGAACCCAAAGCGACGAAAGCTGCTGGAGTCCCGTCATTAAAACGAGTATATCTACCCACTCACATATAGATATAGATACGTATGTATCTGCAGTAAACCATTGAAATAAAAAATCACAAGGTGTGTGGATTCTGCAGCTCGTTTTTCGGGGGGCGGAAACTGAAAAGTGTAGGGCAACTAAAAGATGTGTCTACATCGTGTTTTCATTTTCAACTCAATCTGCCTGAATAATTCATCACGAAGACATGACATGGCATCGCACAGACAGGTATCAAACCGAATCAACTTTAATTGAATGAAAACAAATCTTGCCAATCATATTGACTCTAATCCAATTAAATAAATCGAAAGTACGTCTAAGACGATTCAGATTGATTTAAATGTGGCAGAACCAAATAAAATAATTTTATTTTGTGGGAATGAAATCAAACCCTTTAAAGACATCAATTGAATCATTTTCAGTAAGATAATTTATTTTTATTTATTTATTTTTACACTGTATGCCTATGCTAAAACTAAAACTACAATGAGGGGAACAGCCATAGCTGCTAGGTTTTGATTTTTGAGGTAATTAAGGATTAGAGCTGAATTCTTAGGTGATGGATTCGTATTCGAATAACTTTCCTGATTTGTAACTGATTTATGAGTGGTATACATTTATGAATTTGTTATTAAAATATCTAACTAGCTGCATAATTAGTTTATTTTCGATTTTTTGGTCGATGTTTTGTCATTTTTTATGATGTCCTCCCTTTTCATAATTGCAAAAAATGGATTTTCTGAAAAGCACCTATTTATGGTCATGCTTATCTATAGTTGGCCAGAAGCTCCAGTGATTGACTACCTTATTTGCCGGCAGTTAAGCCATATAAGTCATCGCTTTAATTTTAATTGGACTAGACTAAGCTTACGCTTACGCCTCTGTTGACCAAAGGACCTCCGGCCACCGTCGATTTTCCTGTCTGCTCCTTGAACTTTCCTCGTGCATCCTGGCCACGTTTTTATGTGCTTTTAAGTGCGCAATTAAAGGTCAATTGCCGGCCAGGCTGCCCAGCGAAACGGCTCACGCTGAAGTAGCCCATAAATGGGGCGATGTGTGTGACCAAGTCTACAAGCCATTTTCTTTTTTTAAACACAAACTTTATGGCCTTCAATGTGCGTTTAATACGTATGCAGAGAGTTGCTATGAAGAGCAAGTGCTATATAATCTATAGTTTTCGGAATGTGAAGTGGATAAGTATTTTAAAAAAATTCTTAATGAATTGTGCCAACAGGACGTATAAGCAATATTTTATAAATTGCATTTCCCTAGCAACAGGGCGTATAAGCAATATTTTATAAATTGCATTTCGCTATCAACAGAGCGTATAAGCAATATTTTATAAATTGCATTTCCCTATCAACAGGGCGTATACGTAATATTTTACGAATTGCATTTCTGTGAAGGTAATTTAATAAAAATCCATAAAAACACTTTTAAAATATGTTTGATAAATCTACTTGGTAATATTACGCATTTTTTTTGACACATACCTCAGTCAACTTTCTGTTTTTATTGAAGCAGCATTTGTTGAACATTTATAAAATCTGGAAAGCCAGAAAAATTCCCAGTTCGATACAGACAGGATGGCTGCCGCGGAGTCGCCCAACTTGGCGGAGTACAAGGCCGGTCGCATGATCCTCCTGGGCAAGATGGTGGAGCCCGACGACCGGAAGGGTCTGCTCTACGTTCGCCGCTCCCCCGACAATCAAATGCACATCCACTGGATGGACCGGCGATCGCGTGCCGTCGAGCTGGACATTGTGGCCACGCCGGGTAGCCTGGAGTTCCGTCGCATCGATGGCTGCACGACGGGCCGGGTGTACGTGCTCAAGAGCACACGCTCCACGCAGCGCTACTTCTTCTGGATGCAGGAACCGCAGGTGGAGCGCGATGCGGACTTCTGCCGCCGGGTCAACGAACTGATTGCCGCTGGCGAACGCAAGTGGGACGAGAGTGCGGCAGTCGATGGCGATGTGGATACGGATGTGGAGTCGCGGCGCGGTGGCGGTGGTGCCACGGGCGGAGATCTTCGTGTGCTCGAGGAAATGCGTCGCATTCTGGAGACCACTTTGGCAGCACCACCGGAAAGTTGGGTGCAAGTCGGCCAGTCGATGCTCGCTGAAAACAGAAACCGGAGACCAGAGGAGGCGGCGACTCCTTGGAAACCCGATAAAGTTCTCGATTTGGCAGCTGCCTTGCGTTATCATGGTGAAGAGGCCGTGGTTAAGCTGCTGGATTCGCCAGTAAGACGACAAAAGCTGCTCGACCAACTGCCCAACGATCCCGAAGAGGAGGAGGAGGGCACTCCCGCCAGCCAGATAATCCTCGAGCACCTGCAGTCGCCGCAGTTCAACGAATCCCTGTCCGACTTCTCCGTGGGTCTCCACCACGGTGCCCTCAGATCGATCCTGGAGCCGCTGCTCAACGACAAGGAAGCTCTGGATGCCGCCAAAGCCGGCGATATCGAGCGATTCCTTCGTGTCCTGCATCGCAAGGAAAAAGGAGAAGAATTCACTGGGCCAGCCGATTGAACCGTAGTGTCCCCATAAATAAGTCAAAATATATACACAAAAACACTGAAATAAATTACGGGGAGGAGCGTACAAAATGCAATAACTGCTTGACTCTCCGTCTCGAGTTACGAAGATAAATGAGATGCCATAAGTTAGACGACAACTTGCACACACAACTCCAGACAAAGACCAAGCGGATAAAAGTGTGCTTGTGCTGCTCTCTCTTCTCCCACAAAAAAAAAGCGAAAAAAACGTACACTAAAAATTGATATGAAATACACAAAATACAAAAAAAAAAAAAAAGACAAGGAGTGCAAAAAATTCGAAGGAGAATAAGAAGCAACGACGACGATGAGACGGGAATGAAAACAAAGGAGGGAAATTTCTCAAATAAAAAATAGTTGTAAACTGCAAGTTGTGGACCGGCACTGTGGGGAGTACTTAGGATCGGGTTAGTGGGGCTTTCTTTCCCAGTTCAAGAGTTCTCTGCTCTGGCAGCAGTTTTCCCTGCCTCATTTGTATGGTGGCGCCTGTCCTGCCAAAGCCCTTCCCCTTCCCCTTCCAACCATTCTGACCGAAACTTTTTCCACGTTGTTTTAATGAAACTAAGTGAGCGACAAAGTGCTGGACAGCGGGGGCAGAGTGAAGAATTGTGTGCCACGGCTTTGGGCAGATAAAGCATTCGAAAATGCTGCTGGGCTGCCTGTGCTGCCTGTCCCTTTACTCTTATGCTTTTTTTTTTTTTTTTGGATTTCGCAAGAAAAGAAAACTTAAGAAACGCAAAATGTTCAAAAAGTTGTTGCATTGTGTCAGAGTTTGAACAATGGTAGAAAAAGTGGAGGAAAAGAAAATACTAACGATTAGTTTGTGCCCACTATCCCCCCCCCCACTTGTCATAACAAAGTGTGACCAGCTACTTACTAAATAATTTAGTATGGCTGCACTTTGCTATTTATGGTATAAATATACAAGGATTAATAATTCAAGAGTGCAGTGCTTGAAGCCAAACAATTTACCATAAGTAGAACAAACTCAATTTGCTCTGCAGTCTGGAGTGCCATTTGTGCAATTTCGCTTTAATTCTATTATGCTTTCCACGAATTCCCCGCATTTAACCAACTAAAACTAATAATGCTACCCGACCCGAACCGACTCTCCCACACTCTTGTTTCCCCTCGGGAACCGCATTAAACTTAATGGTAAATGGCATTGCGGAGAATTGCCATAAAAATTACTTAAAACCCAACCAACAAGCAGCTTAAATATGCCGCTTATTGATGTTCTCCACAACGAAGCAAATGCAATAATAGTTAGGAGCAAAAGGGGCAACAAAAACAAAAAAAAAAAAAAAGGCTGAATGTGTGTGCAACATGGGGAACTGAACTAGCTCTTTAGCCGCTTTTCCAGCTCTCAGTTGCCAAACTCCATTGGCATTCGCATTCCCAGTACCATTTTCACTCCCCATTCCCTATCCCTATCCCATTCCCATTTCCATTTCCATGTCCGTGTCCTTTTCCACTTTTCCATCCTGCTCCTGCTTCCCTGCTTTTCCCTGCTTCCCTGCTATGCGTGTTGCATACTAATTTCAAAAATTTGCCATTACATTTGTACTTCGCACTGCTCTATGGCACCAGTGCCGCAACTACTGCCATTCCACCTATTTTCCACCCATTTTGCTGCCCTTCAGTTTGTCGGTTTACTGCCATCTTGAATAACGCAAACACACACACACCGAGTGTGTGTTTCTGTTTCTATTGCTGTTGCTGTTTCTGTTTTCGGTGCTTGATAATCAAGCACACAACTGAAGCTGAAGCTGAAGCTGAAGCCGAAGCTGAAACAGAATTTGAGGCTAGAGCATCAAGCTGGAGCCTCAGCTGGAACTGAAACTGAAGCCGAAACTAAAACTGGCAAGGAGCGAGGAAATCCTGGGGTAATTCACACACGAAATTGCCGGAATTTCAGCTGTAGTCAAAGGTGAAGCGAAAGCATCTTAGCCACACATGCAACGTGCTGTTCGCTCAAAGTGAATTTTCATTCCGGTCCAAATGTAAATAAAACTTGACTCCTTTTTTACATTTTGGCTGAGAAGCTAAGGGAAATTGCCCAAGGAATTTGTCACCTCATGGAGCCCATAGCCAATTGGTCAATTAGTTTTGATGCCAAGAGCTAAAATTTCGTGCAACAGGATTACAAAACAATTAACATGAACCTCAATTATTCATACAATCATATACCCCATTAAATGTATATTTTTTTCAACATTTTTTTTCCTTCAATGTGTTATTAAATATTTGTATTGCATATTTGTATTGAAAGTAAAATGAATGCATTGAACACGCATCTCTAAGTAAACACAGCAAGACACCTTCGGAAACGATTACTTTTTGCCTTTGGCCCATTTGGAATTTATGCCACTTTGGAATTCAGGCAATTGCGAAAGCCAAAACCATTTGATTAAGTTGATTGCGAAATGTGCGGAATTTGTGTGCTGCTTCAATGGGACTTCTAATGAGGATTTCTTTGAAGCGCCTGGGGCCAAAGTCGAAAACTTTAAGCACGTGTCATAATTGTCAATGCCACAAAGCTCTCGTAAAGGCACAAGCACACACACATTTAATATATAAATATATATATGTTTATATATATATAGATAAATACATTTGATATAGGGAGGGGGATGCTGCGGCAAACGGAAGTCACACAGACAGATAAGCAGAAAATGGCAGACAAATGGGAGAGGCATTTGACATTGACCAAACATTGTCGCATTAAGGAAACGTACTGGCCTCAAGCACATCCTTACCACAAAACACTCATCCAGAGGTGGTCGTACATTTCCCCTCTGTAACTCCTCGATTTGTGGCACAAAATACGTTGCAAGATGGAAATAAAATCACTTGTAATATGCTCATATTGCCTATAATTAATTGAAAATACCTCGCATTGATTAACATCCTGTATCTGTTTCGAATTTATTGATAATATTATTGGGGTGCACAAAATGCGGAGCTTTCGCATCGTTCACTCCACACATGTTGTTTGCCATCAATGTTCCACCGCAAAAAGTGTGCAATGAAAAAGTGACGCCAGGCCGGAGAAATGTTGCCAAAAAGGCCAGCGACAGTTTGGCTGGGAAAAACTCATCCCCGCTGGTTTTCCCCTTACCCCCTCCCCATTTTCCCCCCATTTTCCTGTCTCGTTTTTAGTCACTGGCCTAGTTCGCAGTGAAGCCGCAGTCCATGAGACAATAACTCATGAAGTGCGGCGGCGACGGGGCCAAGCGGAACCCGAATAAAAATCAAATAATAGCGTAAAAGCTTTCCCCTCTAAAAAAAAAAAAAATCAGGGATATGAGGAGAGTATGTGGGGAGGTTGGGAAACCCTCGTCCATGGCTCAACAATAAAATGTCGCCGGCGAGCTTTGTCCGCGTCGCCAAACCAGAAAGTTAACCCAGTTGCAGGGAGCAATGAATAAATTTTCCAGCTGAAACTGGCAAAACTTTCTTGTCGCTCCCAAAAGCTAAATTAAATGCGAGAAATAGGAGTACGAACGAAATGAGACACCTAAAAATGTAAAATACAGCCAGATAAAAAAATGAATTACTGCTCGCTGGAATTATTAAATGAATTGAATTGATTGCGCGGTTTTTAGTGCATTTGTCATTATTGTTTTATCTTTTTTAAAAACACATTTTCCTGTTGCCCAGAAAACCAGAGAAAAATGGTAGAAATAGAATCCACTTAAAACAGAAGTTTAAAATGGAATAGTGATCCAATTACCAAAGTAATTTAATTAATTCCAGAGGTTTTGGTGGCAGACAGAAAGACAAATTGAATGCCAGAAAATAAAGCATATATAACTGGTGAAAAGGTATTGTGCATGTTCCCTTTATTCGCTTTATATATTTGACATGAGATTTTCAATTCAAATTTATTCGCATTTAAAAGCGAACAACAAACAACAACGACTAGCGAATCGCCGCGAATAACTTTGACCGACGCTCCGTGACCCCCGCTGTCATCCTGGGGTTAAGTGCACCGCTCGATATGCCAGATGAAGAGGACAAAAGTGCATTTAACAAATTAAAATCGCAGAAACCACCGGCCAAACGAAATGGCAATAAAGCTCTCTGGCCTTTTCCACCTACCAACTGGACGGCTGGATGGCTGGATGGCCGGCTGTCCTGTTGGCCTGCTGGTTGGTTGGCCTGCTGTGTTTTACGCAAATGTACGCAAAAAAGGGAGAAATGCGTTCTTTTTTTTTTTTTGGGCCACGTCCAATAATGATGTTGTTGCCGGGTCCTCTGGTCCTTTGGTCCGGTGTGGTGGTGCTCTCGTCCTCTGGCTCTCCGGTCCTATGGTCCTCTGCGGTCCTCCTCGACTTTCTGACTGCGAAAATGCAATCCGAGCCGGAACTGACACGCACAAAAGGATATGCAACATTCACTAATAAATTTCATATTTATGTAGAACAGCGAATGCAGTCGCCGAGCGGGCTAAGGGAAATATCCGGCGAAATATAAACGTGAAATTGCCGGCCGACCAAAGTTTGTTGTGTGTGCGGTTCGAAAGGCAAACATTTTGAATTCGGGGGATTGGGGAGAAGTGGGTACTTTTTGGGCACATCTGACAATCTCGGCAGGACAATATACAAAAGGAATCGAAATTGAAACGAATACGCGGAAATCTGCATTGGGGAAATTGTCATATACGATCGATATTAATGCGGTACTCTTAATTCTGCAAATTATGATCCGTAAATAATAAAATAATTCTTAATTTATAAATACCAATAGTAAATTTTCGAAATGTACTTTTTGAAACAGAAACTGAAATACTTTGGGGTAAAACTAAAATCGCATAATATTCAAACATAATTTAAGGGTTTTTTTTCTAACCAGTAAATAGCAAACATAACACGCTTAACCATAAACCAACCAAATACCGAAACCAAATCATTTCAATAATCAATTGAAAATCAATTTATTTTATTTGTGCTCCAATCATAATTTTCACAACACAAGCGACAATCAATTGTAGGTGGCAGTTATATTTTTCTCGCGCTCTTTTTCAGCAGCTGCCTTCATTTGCATAATTTGAAATTACTAACAACTGCTTTGAATCTGGCTTATACTCCATAAATATTTATTTAATCACTTATTCATGCATCGCATTTTCACAGTTTTAATGTTTACATATTGTGGAGCGAATTAAAAGCAGCATAGGCAAAAAATGCAAAATCTTTTTGGCGAGCACAATAAATATTTGATGGAAATAAATTCTACAATGTTTCGGTGTTTGTTTTGCTGGGCTTTTCCGGGCAATATCCGTCTTAGTCGTTATAATTTGTATTCCGTTTAATGATTCGCCGGGATATGTAAGCCTTTGTAATGTTCTTTACTTAAGCTTTATAA